CCGTCCTGCGGCCATCTTGGACTATCTTGCGCCATCTTGAGACTGCCTGGGGCCGTCCTGAGGCAATCTTGGACCGCCTTAGGGCCGGATTGCCCGAAGGGGGGGGGAGTAGGGGGATGGGGGAGGGGGAGCGCATGCTGCCTCTCCCTCGGGACCCCACTGGGGACCCCTCCACGGGACCTCCCCCGTTTACCCCTCCCCCTACCCCCTCCCCCTGGGCCTGGAGAGGTCCTTCCGCGGGTGGCCGGAGGGGTCTTTTTCGACTCCTGGGAGGGCAAGCTTGGAAAGCCACAGATGGTCGCCAGCAGGGGAGGAACAGTTTCGAACGAAAGAGCCTCTCCCAGGACCATCCTGGGACGATTGGCCCAGTACTCCATCTTACACGCGCCGACAGGATCGGGGGACTCCTGGAGCGAGGCACCCACGCTGGGCCTGGCCGGGCCAACTTGGGCGCATGATCGCCGTGCACGCCTTCTTTCTAGGCCTCCTAGATGGGGTCGAAGTAGATGGGGTCGGAGGATCGCGCCGCATCGCCGATGTATCGCCGATGCGGCTCGATGTGCAGCCCGATTTGCTTCACGTCCACGTCGCCGGTGCATCGCCGACGTCGACGGTGCATCGCCGGTGCATCGCCGATGCATCGTCAAGGTATCGGCGATGCGGCGCGATCCGCCGACCCCATCTAGGAGGCCTCTCTTCTGGCCAGGCCAGGGTCGGCCTGGCTTGGTCGGCGGAGGACAGCCGCCAGGGAGGCCTCCAGCAGTGCCCACTGCCCCGGGGCTGCCCCCTGAGCGCAGCCGGCGTCCGAGCGCGCCTCGGCTGCCGAGCTCAGGCAGACCTATAGGCTATAGGATGAGGATAGGTCGCCCCAGGGCGTTGCGGTCCCCCCCCCATCACGGAGCTTTTTCCGAACGCTCACTCGGCGTCCGAGCGCGCCTCGGCTGCCGAGCTCAGGCGGGGCTGTAGGCTATGGGATGAGGACAAGGCGCTCCACAGGGCTTTGTGGAACGCCCTCGGAGTGTCCTGGGGCCGCTCGGGAACGGCGGCGGCGCCCGAGGTATCCTCCAGGCCCGCCGGCTCTCGGAGCCCCCGCGGGTCCCGGAGGCCTCGCGTGAGAGGTCACTCCTGCCTGCTAGTGCTCGGCTGCTGGACCAACTTCGGCGCCACACCAAGTTGCGAGTGCTGTGTGTGTGCGCCCCCCCCCCCGGGGGAGACGCGCGCACCGAGAAATCTTTGAGTGCATGCGTCGTGGCGGGCGCTTTCTGGCCACACCTCTCGGGAAACGAAATACCATAAGAGGGGTCGACTGCATGTTCGGCTCGGACGCTCGCTTCCAAGGAGGACATCTAGTATTAGTATGTCTCTGTGCGTCCCATAATACCCAGGAGATGAAGACGTTCTTGGAGATCATGTGTACCAGAACCAAGCATCTTCTTGGTCACCGACATCAGGCAGATAATCATCAGTTGAGCTATGCCATTCACTGGAGTGCTGTGTCGCGAACACGTGCTTTCAGCACGCAGACGAGCACACTGTCATGTACCACAACATTGGCGGGGACCCATCAAGCGACAGTATGCCTGGCAGCTTCCAACGGGTTGATCATGCCATTATAAACAAACGGTGACTATCTTCTATTTCTGATGTTTGGAGTGATCGGAATCGGCCGCTTCAGTCGCACCATTTTTTAGATGTAGACCTCAACACTACAATGAATACAGACCGCAAACAACATAAAATTCATCTCGAGGTGAAGTCACTGCTGAAGGAGAACATCAAAAACAAATCTGTATTTCATTTTTTTGGCGGATGGCAGAAATAATCATACTGCGCGTCATTAGAAGATCACGCTTCTGCAATGTCAGGGTGCATGGTGCAAGCGGCTGCTGCGTGCATCCCAACTCGAACAAGACCGCGACTACTTCCCTGGATGTCGGATCGGACCGCACCACTTGATTGAATAACTGGACAAGACACGACACTTTAGGCAGGCGGTTCATGGAGTCACAGAACCTCACAAACATGATTGAAAAGCCTTCCAAGGCAGACCTGGCACACTGGCTTATAGAAAGTATTGTAACGAATGGGCGGGCGGCTATCAAATCATTGCGGAAGAATGCTGCTACGAAGTGCGGGCGGCTTTGGGATGCCCAAAGGGACTTGGCAGACGCATTCCAAAGGGCAGCCACCACGGCAGATGTTTTGGAGACGGTGCAGTGGCGAGCACCGGAAGACATCCAAATGCCAGAACAGACGCTTCATGATGGGCATTTGGACCTTGAGGTGTGGCCGATCACACCAGAAGAGGCAAAAAAGGTATTGGAACATCTTCGTGTACAGCGAGCTGGTTGGACCGATGGGGTGCTACCAGAACTCTGGAATTCACTATTGGACAGAACAGCCGCAGTGGACAGATTATCATCATTGTGTAATGCGTGCCGGAGAAAAAAAACATCCCATAATAATGGAGAGAAACATCCGTTGTGACAGCATTTCGAAAGGGAGACATATCCCAGTCTTCTAAGTCTCGGCCCATCTCTGTGCTCACAGTGGGATACAAGATACTTGCCAGCATTTTGTTGAACAAGGCCTCAAACATGGAGGGGCCGAGGAAGCATTAAGGGAGTGTCAACATGGTTTCCGGCCCCACCGCGGCACGAGTGAAACGCTATTATTGGCGCGCCAGCCGATCGACGCTACGTAGGAGGACAAGGTTGGCAAACCACAGCTCCCACTTCTTGATTGGATCAAAGTTTTCGACCGCATCAGCTCCAATGGGCTTGTACACGCACCGTAACAATTCCGCGGTCCACATGCGATGGTCGGGATTATCAAGGGCATCGACAAAATACGTAAGGTCGCCGCTCTAGACGCAGGCGCGACGTCATCGCACAGAGTACAGTCAGCTGGAATCGCACAAGGGTGCCTGCTGTAGCCGTCTTTATCTGGTATCGTTGTGCCAATATGATTACTAGGGAGACTCAGCCGTACATGGTCGCCGAAGACATGTTGTAAGCAGATGGCACCATGCTGGTTTCCAGAGACCATGACTCGCTCCAAACACATTTGACTGTGGTGGTTGCAGTTGGAAATAAATGCTGGCTGGAACTGAACTTTAGGACGACAGTTTTTTTGCACATGCAAGCGGGCGCATTCATTGCTGGACTGGATGGTGTGTCAATACAGTGCCAGTGCAAATGCAGCGCGGTCTGCTTAGGGGTCTGTTAAGCTTCGACGGGAACCACCACGCGGATCTCACACAGATGTTCGGAGAAGCCAAAGGTATGCTTCAAACATTCTGTTTGGCTTGGAACCGCGCCAATTTGAGTATCACCCGAAAGCATCGTATATTGGAGGCGTGCGTGTCATCTGAACTTCCATATGGGCTGTAATCGTGCATGCTCTTGAAAGTGAACGGAGACAGACTCGATGGATTCCAAGCGCGGTGTTAGCGGAACGTATTGAAGATTTTGCTGGTTTTGTATCCAGAGTGAGCAATACATTACTTCGTGGATTTGCCAGCACCATACCGTCATCATATGTCATCATTGTATTTGTTGTGAAGGCATCTGAATAAGTTGTATGGTAAACTTGCCCCAAACGTTCCACAGAGCCTTCCTAAAGCAACGGTTTTCGAAACTTGCCAGACTTACCAGGCGACGCTGCGGAGATGGAATTTCCGACGCTTGCGAGGGCAGCTTCGACAACGGACGACCTGTTCACACACGCAAGCCTTGGCCGCAGCAGGGGGCGACCACGACAGTCTGCAAACCATCGTGCAACGCACTTCTGAGTGGCATTCGGCTGTGGCGCAATACTGCGCAGTCTAGCCACACTTTGTACCACGATGCTTGGCCTCACCTGAGCATTTGTTTATTCTACTTGTTCGTCCATGCGTCGCCGCTGTAGCATAGCATAACAAGCACATCAGAGGGTTTCAGAATCAAGCGCGCGCCCGAGCAGGAAACACGCAGTTGAGCTTGTTCTGTGGCCATCCCTGTTTGGTGTGGCCCTTTCTGCTATGCCTGACCCTTTTTCCTTCCCCTCCGCTCCGCTCCCCTCCCCTCTCCTCTCCTCTCCTCCCCTCCCCCCTCTTCCCATCCCCTGCCGGTGCTTTGCCGTCCACCCTCGCGCTGCACCAGCGTGCTTGTGCATGGCAGTCCGAGGCCCGATCCCGCGTGCCATCATTCAGTTTGCCAATGCGCCGTCTAGGCGTGGCTTCTTTGGTTCGTTCGGAAAAAAAATAATTCTCGCAAGCGGTCCGTCTCCCCCCCGCGCCCCTCCATTTCAGTTTGCGTGGAACGCCGCGCGATCCGATTTTTTCCCCGTCGGCCGCGGTCGGCTTTGGCGTGCAGTCGAGACTTATCCTCACTGCCCTCGTTTTGCGGAGCGGCTCAGGGATCCGAGCCCGTGCGGCTGTCGAGAGGGCAGAGCCTCCCGCATCCCTGTTGGGGTTGGGCCCGTCGGCTTCAAGTCCGGCTGGCTCGGTTGAGACGCCGAACGGGCTCAGACCGAAAGCTTGGGGTGCTCATCGGTCGACGACGCCAGGTCCAATTTCGGTAGCAGCTCATGGGAGCCTCGTATGCCTTCGAAATCCCGTCTTCAGAGTGCACTCGCGTGCAGTAGCGTCTGGTAGTCGATGAGAAAGCGCCGATTTCGTATCGATTAGCGTCGCTGTAGTGCCGAATAGCGTTGATTCGCGTCGGTTGGCGTCGGTTCGCAAGAGCCAGCACGCTGACATGGGAGGCTCCCGCGAGCTACCACACAAGGGTCTACCCACCTCTTCAACCGATGTGTACTCGTACCCCCACCTCGCCCAGAGGTCGGAGCCCTATCGATGGGTTCTCGGTGGCGGTGGTCCATGCTTATCCTCCGAGAGGCTCTAGGTCTCCGAGATGGGGTCGGAGGTCAGAGGATTGCTCCGCATCGCCGATACATCGACGATGCGGCCCGATGTGGAGCCAGAATTTCTCCACGCCGATGGTGCCGATGCATCGCCGACGTCGCCGATGCATCGCCGATGCGTCGGCGATGCGTCGGCGGTGCGGCACGATCTTTCGACCCCATCTGCTCGGACCCCGTCCTTGAGACTTCTAGAGGCGAGGACAACGGGGTGGGTGGGCGGCTGGCCTCGCGCGAGGAGGCGGGGCAGGGGGGCCGTGCGCTCCCCCTGCCCCGGAGAGGAGGATGCGTGACAGCGTAACGCCCCCCCCCCCCGTTTCGCCTCCGCAGTTGCACAAGTCGTGTGCGGCGCTCTTCGCTCCCCTGATGCGGTCCTGTGCGGGGGTCCCGCGCAATGTTCTCCCACAGCGTGTTCGAACAGTGTTCTTGTCTTTCTGAGTGCAGTGGAGACCCATGCCAAGAAACACCCTGCTTGCCTCCAGGGAGCTCTGGGTTTCTTGGGTTTCGATGGTTTTGCGATGGAAGGCGTGACGTCCTGGGGTCTCAGGGTTGGGTTTCCTGTGGAAGGTCTCTGGTGGACTGGTCTCCGCAGTAGTGTTCTTGTCTTTCTGGGTACACCGTCCGATCGGGACGGTCCCTCGGAGCTGGTGCTCCTGGCCCCACGTTGCAGGGTCGGTGCTTTGCCCCCCCCCCCCCCCCTCGTCCAGAGCCGCGCTCCTCGTCCCAGCGCGGGCAACGTTTCTGGATACGACCCCTTCCTCGTCGTTGCCGCCCCTCCCCCCCCCTCTTCCTCACGTGGATCCTCCTGATCCTACTCTTGCTCCTCCTGCTCTCGCGGTTGCTGATTTCCCTCCTCCTCATTTTCCTTCGCCTCCTCCATTTTCCTGTTCATCCTCCTGCTCATCCGCCACCTCCTCATCTCCCCCCAAAATGCAAAGCCTTTCCCCATGACTGCGCATCACACGATGGAGCATTTTTTGGTATGAAGGTCATCTGCGGAGTGGTCGGATGTCACATATGGCGCGAACACGCCTAGCTTGCCCCTTCCCCCTCTCCCCTCCCCTTCCCATCGCCGCCCCCTCCTCCATCACGGGCGTTTTACGGTGGAGTTCTTTCTATGCTTTTTGCACAAAGAAGAGAACAATTGCAAGATGACACCCTTGCGGCAGAATGCCCCAAGCAGTTTTACACGGTAACGATGGGGGGCCACGATAGGGGGTCCACAATGGGGGGCCACGATGGGGGGGTCGGGATAGGGATATAGGGATGGGGATAGGGATGCGGGTAGGGGCTAGGGATACAGGGATAGGAATCTAGAGGTAGGGTTAGGGATCGTGATCGGGATGGGGATGTGGCCTTAGGGATAGCGATAGGGATACGGGAATGGGATAGGATATGGATGATATCGCCCGCCCGATTCCGGATCTGGCAGCGTGCCATCCAGGTTCCGAGGGCACATTTGTGTGTACATGCAGAACCCCTTGCAGGCAAGCTGTTCAGGGAGGCACGTACTTCCGGAGGTCCGCGCGGACTTCCTGGGTCGGCGCCGGGCGCCCCCTGGCGGCGCAGACGCAAGACATCCGCGCGGACCTCCGAAGGTCCTGACAGGATCAGGGACCACCTCCGGCTCAGGGCGGGCTCTGGTCCTCGGGCCGCTCCTCAGACCCGGGTCGTGGAGCCTCTCCGTTGCCGAGGCTCGCCGTGCCCAGGAGGGCATGATCCGTTCCCGATTCTCGCCGCCGACCAGACCACCCCAACCCAAGCCGAAGGCCTCCATCTGCCCTCCGTTTCCAGTGAGGGGGGGGATCGGGGAACGCTGACAAAAACACATACGGAACCCATCCCCCCCCAGCCCGAAGTTCGGGGCTTCGGGTTGGGGCGGGGTGGTCTGGCAGGTTGTCAGATTCAGAGTTTTTTTGGCAGCACGATGGCTGTGTCTTTACGTTGGCTCTTGTCCTCCTGCCTCCTCTCCAGATGCAGCGGCCGCCCGCTCGCAGCGACCGCTCCCGCCGGCGGCCCGCCGAGGAACCTCTGCGTCGACCTGGCCGGCCGCCCTCCTGCGCTTGCCCAGCAGCGCTTCCTGCCGTGGGTCCCCCTGGAGCTCTGGGGACAAGCGCCGGCTCTGCGGGGGCGGCCCCGCCACGCCTCGCTCCGGAGACCTGCTCGCGTCGTGGCAAGAATCACGGCGGGAGGCGGTTGGCCGTCTTCGGCCTCAGGGGGCCCTCGCTGGGCCCCAGGACCGTCAGTAGAACGACTCAGGACGCGAAGCTGGTCCCGGGGGAGGGTCGCAGACCTCTGGGGGGCCGCGTGTTGGAACAAACGACGGGGCATGTCTGGGTCGCTCTGCGACCGCGTGCGAGCCCTGCCCCTGCGGGTCGAATCGACGCTGGGGTACTGGACTTCCCCGTGGGGGCTTCGCCTGGCTGCAGACGTCTGGCAAGCTCTGAGCCTCCGCGGGTGTCTTAGAGCTCTGGCCTCCAGTCGGCGGCAAGCGAGGGGGGGAAGTGAGAAGGAGGAGGCCTTCTCAGACGGCGGAGGGACATCTGAGAAGCCCTCGCGCCTTCTGAGTTTTTTTTTTTTTTTTTTTTTTTTTTTTTTTTCTGTCTTCCGGGAAGGCTAACTAAAACTTCTCAGAAGGCCGGGGGACTTCCGAGCCTTCTGAGAGGGCCCGCCCCTTCTCACTTCCTCCCCTCGCTCGCCGCCGATCCAGGGATAGGTTCCGCAAGGGTGTCCGCGGTCCGGGTGGTTCGGCTGTGTCGCAGTCGTTGGCGTTCGGTTTCGTAGGTCCGGTCGGTTGTCGTGTCGTTGCTGCGTCGCTGCGCCCTTCTTAGGCCGTCTGCGACCTGTCGGTTTCAGTCGGCTTCGGTTTCGCTGTCGGTGCGGCCGGTTTTTGGCTGTGCTGTCGCCCTGGGCGGCCTTGATTCACGCGGCTGCCTGCTCGCGACATCTGGCCGTGGGGCGCCGGGCCGAGCACCCGTGCCGGCCCTGGCCAGGACGGCCCTGGGGCTGGGGATCGGTGCGCGCTCTCCTGGCAGGGCCCGTGCCGGCTCCATCGACGCGGTGCGATCTCTCGAGCGCGCCGGGCCCGATCCGATGCGGTCTGGGACCCTGTGCGGCCCGCTGCCTGCGAGGCGCAGGCTTGTGCATCCTGGCGCAGCCTGCCCGACTCGGTTTCGACTCCGTGCCGACGCGGCCCGATCCTCACCGAGCGCCGTCCCCTAGTCGCACAGTGCCCGCTCGCAAGCGTCCGAAGAACGTACGTCTGCTCCGAGGAGAATTGCCATAGACCCCCTGCGGCGGCTCCAGGCCACTTGCGAGCAGTTGCTGTAAGAGCAGTGGAACGCGCCCGCCTGGAGCCGGCGCAGGGTCCGATCCGCTTCCGCTTCCCGAGTCGGTGCCGGCTGGTCCTGCACGGCAGGCCCAGGAGGCAGCGCCCGTCTCTCCCGCTGCCGACGGCGTGCCCGGTCGCGGCCGGTCTCTGGAGAGCTCTGGTTTTGGCATCGCTCGGGCGTGTGCGCGTTTTGCTCGGCAGGGGTCCATCGAGGAGCATCCTGGATCATCGTGCGAAAAATGAGCGCACGGTGCCGAAGCATGCACAGGGAATGTGGACGTCCGAGCGATGGCAAGCTGGTCCGAGGCGGGGATTTCTCTCTCTAGAATCGCTGCCTCGTGTATGGACTTCAGAGGCCTCGGCACGCGGTGGATGTGGGCATGTGCGGGCATGCCCCCAAAGTTACAGCCGCTCCTCTTTACTGCAATCGTTCAATGTCTGTTCATGGGAGCCTTGGGCGGCGACACTGAAATCAGCTTTTCCTAGATTTGGACCGCGTGGGGACCACATTTGGCCCATCCTCCTGCTCCTCCTCTCTCCTCCTGTTCCCCCTCCGGTCCAAATCAGGCCCGAATAGGACAGCGCTGGGGGCCACGCAGGCTCCCATGGAACGGACACCAAACAATCGCGGCCGACCTCAGGAGCACAAGAACCGTAGGTCTCGGCTGAACGGTGTGTTCAAGAACCTGCTGAAGGAAGTGGACACAGCCACGAACATCGATGGCATCGACCTTTGGTTCGAGAAGGCCTGCCGAGTGTCCACAGGAGCTCTGCCGTTCCGCGCCGTCAGGGGGAGCACTCTTGCTGCCGAGCCTGATGAGAGACGCCCCACCCTGCAGCCAGTTCCCGATGAGGAGGTGAAGGAGGAGAAGGAGGAGGAGGAGGAGGAGGAACTGGAGGATGCGGAGCATGAGGAAGAGGAGGCGGAGGGCTGCAGATGATGGTGGTAATGATGAACATGACAGCAGGTCACGATGGTGATGAGAGGAGGGGCAACAAAGCCAGAAGGAGGAAGAAGAGGAGGAGGAGGGTCGCAAAATGAGGAGACGGTATTGACGTAGATCACTTCGAGCCGCTCTGGCGGGAGGACAGGTCTGTCGTCGTTCTGGGCACAAAGGCAGAAGGAGGCATCGAAGGGTTCCCCCCGCTGGGCATAGTGGAGCGAGGATGCAGTGGGGCGATCTGGAGGAGGAGCGTAGGAGGAGGATGACGGGCAGGAGGAGAGCCAGCTCGTTATCCAGGCTCATGCAGTCGGGTTGCGGCGGCCGGCGTCTGTTTCGTAAGAGTGCTGTGTGCGCTTCGGCCCTTCCCGTCCACAGACTTCAACTTCAGCAAAACCGCGAGCCCGATCGACGAGATCTCGGACGAGCCGCGCCACGAGTGCGAGAGGGTCCTGCTGTCCAAGCAGCTGGTCACCATCTTCCCGAGCTTTACCGAGCGCGCAGTCATAAGCTTCAAGAGGCTCCAGGATCGTCTGCATGCACCGTCTCTCGGGGTGGGCATGGGGGAGGGGGGTGATGGGCTTGGGGGCAGGGGTGGGTGGGGGGAGGAGGATGAGGGTGGAGGCACGACGACGACGATGATGAAGGTACTGTTGTTGTCGTCGTCGTCGTCGTTGTCGTTGTCGTTGTCGTTGTGGATGTTGTTGCTGTTGTTGTTGTTGTCGCCGTCGTCGTCGTCGTCGTCGTCGTTGTTGTTGTTGTTGTTGTTGTTGTTGTTGTTGTTGTTGTTGTTGTTGTTGAACATTATTTATTCTAAAGAATAATTATTGTTGGGCCCCCTGGTGCGCGCCCCCCCTGCGCCGCCTAGGCCGCAGCTACATTTTCATCATTTTCGTGAGGAAGCCTCAGAAAAGAGGGTGTGTACAGGATCCGGTTGTTTTGTTGTAATCCGCTTTCCCTTGCAAAAAACAATAGAAAATGACATTTCTTGTTCTAATATAATCAAATTTCAAGAATCCCTTGCAAAAAATAAGGTAAAGTGGACATTCGCGCGCGCAAGACGAAATCCTTCCAAAAGCTTAGTGTTCGGAGCGATTTTAACATAAAAACATCAAAAAACCAATGGTTTTTCAACAAAAAAATGTCAAAATCTCATCCCGCGCGCTCTTGCGGATTCGTAGGAAACCCAACACTTTTTAAACATTTCTGTCAAACGGGCTTTTGCGAGCAACTTTTTCGAACTTCTGCGACAACGGTTGCGCACCTGCCAGGGCCATCATCCCTGTCAAATAATACCATGCGGGACACATTCGTTTTTTCTTCGCGCGCGCACGCCGTCGTCGTCGGCCGCGGGGCCCTGAATAGTAGCCACGGTCGTCCGCATGCCACGAAGTGAAGTGTCCGAACGTCATAGGGCGGGAAGCTGGGTGTGGGTGGTGGCGAAGAGTCGTTTGGAAATTTGGTAGAGCTTGAACCGGCCCCCCCACAAAGTGGGGGTATTGCCCGCCTCCTATGAAAACCCTGGCACTGGTGAGAACGGAGTGTCCCCAGTCTTAAATGATTGTTGTTGTTGTTGTTGTTGTTGCTGGTGTTGATGTTATTGCTGTTGTTGTCGTAGTAGTAGTAGTAGTAGTAGTAGTAGAAGAAGAAGAATAAGTAGTAGTAGTAGTAGTAGTAGTAGTAGTAGTAGTAGTAGTAGTTGTGATTGATCTGGTTGTTGATGTTGGTGATGATGCTATTGATGATGATGAGGATGATGCTGGTGATGGTGGTGATGGTGGTGATGACTCTGATGATGAGAATGTTGATAATGAATATGCTGTTGATCAATGCTATAGTGATGATGACGGTGATGATGATGATGACTATGATGACGGTGGTGACCATGATGATGATGATGCTGATGCTGTTGTTGATGATGATGATGATGATGATGATGATGACTATGATGGTGATGGCGACGATTGTGATGATGGTGACTGTTCTGATGATGAGGTGCAGGTGGAGGAGGAGGAGGCGGATAATGATGATGGTGGCGGTGATGGTAGCACGATGCTGAGAGTAGTGGTGGTGGTGATGGTGATGGTGGTGATTATGATGATGATGATGATGATGATGATGATGATGATGTTAATGGTAAGGCTGCTGCTGATGCAGATAATGATGATGATGGTTATGATGATGCTGATGTTGATGATGTTGATGATGATTATGATGGTACTGATGATGATGGTGATTCTGATGCTGATGATGATGTTGTTGATGATGATGCTTATGATGATCATGATGCTGATGATGATGATGATGCTGATTATGATGGTGATGCTGCTGCTGCTCATGATGATAATGATGATGATGATGATGATGGTGATGATTATGATGATTGTAGTGGTGGTGGTGGTGGTGATGATGATGATGATGAAGGTAATGCTGATGATGATTCTTATTATGATGATGATGATGCTGATGATGCTGCTGATGATGATGATGATGGTGATGATGATGATGATGATGATGGTGATGATGATGATGGTGGTGGTGGTGGTGGTGGTGGTGGCGGCGGCGGTGATGACGAGGACAAGGGGGATGATGAGGAGGGCGGGGAAGAGAAGGAGGAGGAGGAAGAGGAAGAGGAGGAGGAGGAGGAGGCGAAGGAGGAGGACGAGGAGGAGGAGGAGGAGGAGGAGGAGGAGGAGGAGGAGGAGATGGAGGATGCGGAGGATGAGGAAGAGGAGGCGGAGGAATGCAGATGATGGTGATAATGATGAGGATGATAGCAGGTAGCGATGGCGATGATGGGCTGAAAGGGAGGAGGTGGAGGCAGGCGGCAGGCTCCGAGGAGGAGGAGGAGGACAAATCGCAGGAGCATCTGGACAAGCTGATGCTCAACCCGACGGACAAGAAAATTTACAATGGCATGGAGAGCATAGTGCGCAGGTTCATCGAGAGTTTCAGGGATGTCCAGGAGTCTTACTCCTCTTTCGCCTCCTGCTCGTTATCCTGCTACTCCTCGCTCCACCTCTCTCCTCAACGCTCATGCTATTGTGCTTCTGCCCGTATTCGCCTCTTCCCCTCAAGCACGAGTGGCGATGCACTTGCCTCCGGCAGTAGAGGACGTAGACTGTATCCCTACATGGGTTGGCACCCGAGTTTCTTGCCAATCTCCTTGAGGTGCTCCGTTCCCTGCGCAGCTCTTTTCCCTCTTCCGTCCTATTTTTCATGTGGGGCGTTCCAGCAAGGGCCTCGCCTTCGAGGGATCGATAAGTTGGCTTCTCTTTTTCGGCGGAAGCCGCCGGAAGTAAATCGGCGGAGGTCCGCCGGCAGAAGGCCGGCAGAATCCGGCTCTCAGCGCGTGGCAGACGTGGCTTTTCCTCGACACCAGAAGGGGTGCGCAGGGGGTGGTGCTCCTCGTGAGTGTCAGGCTCGCAGGGGGTGACAGGCATGGTATTTCCTCGCCACCAGAAGTGAAGCGGGTGAGCAGGGGGTGGTTCTCCTTGTGAGCGTGACGCTCGCCGCGCGTGGCATGCGTGGCGTTTCCTCGCCGCCAAAGCGGGGGTGCGCAGGGGTGCGGTTTCTATCATTGTCACGCTCGCAGGCCGTGACAGGCGTGGCATATCCTCGACGCCAGGGGTGCGCAGGGGGTGAGGTCCCTATCCGCGCCACCCTCCCAGGACGTGGCAGGGGTGGCTCTCCTTTGGTGTCATAGGGGGTACGCAGGATGTACAGCCTCTATCCGTGTCGCGCTCGCAGAGCGTGGCATCGTGGCATTCCCTCGACGGTAGGGGGATGCACAGAGGGTGCGCTCTCTATCAGTGTTACGCTCGCGTGGTGTGGCAGGCGTTGCGTCTCCGTGCTGCCAGAGGGGGTGCGCAGGGGTTGCGGTCTCTGTCCATGTCACGCTCCCATGGCGTGGCAGGCGGAGGGGGTGCTCAAGGGGTGCGTGGTCTCTATCTCTTGCTCGTGTTCCCACAGCCACTGATGGTTCTGCTCTGAGCTCGCACGTCGGGGGAGCAAGATCCTGCTGTTCGGGGTCAACGCTGGCAGACATGTCGGTACCGAGTGCTGTTGCTTACGTCTCTCCCAGCTCCGCCCCCTGCGTTGGTCTGCGCTCTCAGAGTCACTTCTCCCCCGCAGCGGCGTTTCTTCTGACGACTGAGCCGCCTCAGTGCGCTCTGCAGCACGCCTTGCCACGTTGCCCCCGCGGCGCGCATTGGAGCGCCTGTGGCGCCAGGCCTCCCGATCGCATCGTCAGCGCCTGCGGCCAGTGCAGAATGGTGGCCGACGGGCGCGGGTCGAAGGAAGCTGACCTCTTGCAGTGCTCCTGCTGGTTACCCCGTCTCCCCCTCCTTCTGCTCAGGACTTGGACAACGACTTCCTCACCGCCTTTGCCTACAAGGATGACGGCTCCCTGTCTGGTGACCTGTGGGCCTCGCTGAAAGACTCCAGCGCGACGATCGTTGCGAGCCTACAAGAGCGCAGCTCGTCCCGTCGAGACTGGATCACGGAGAGCATCCGGGACAAGGCGTTGCTCCAGCATGGCCGCCGCATACGGGTGCCTGGCGAGGAGGACGAAGAGGGCGAGTAAGGAAGAGGACGATGAGGATGCATGAGCGTGCGGTGGAAATAAAGGTAGTGGTTGCAGGTGGCGATGAAGATACGGCAGGTGCATGCCGTGTCGACGCGGTGACGACTGCAGCGCGGGCGTTCAAGTTTGAACTCCGCGGGTGGCCCGGAATCGGTCGACATCGAACGATGCGCGCTGTCGGAAAGCCGCGATCGTTCAAGGTTTGAGCGTTCACCGAGGTGTCTCAAACCAGCTCGCCAGTTGTCCCGACGCGAATTCAGGTGAATCCGACTTCCGTAGCACTCAACGAACAACAGCAGCATACATACACACGCACACACACACGCACACACATTCACACACATTCGCGCACATACGCACACACAAACACACACAGAAACACACAGACACACACAGACAGACACACACACACGCACACGCACACGCATGTATGCATGCACACACAATCACAATCACAATCACAATCACAATCACATTCACATTCACATTCACAATCGCCATCAAAATCACAATCACAATCACAATCACAATCACAATCACAATCATAATTTCAATGACAATGACAATGACAATCACGATCACAATCACAGTCGTAATCACAATCATAATCAACATGACAATGACGATGACAATGACAATCACAGTCACAATCACAATCACAGTTACAATCATAATCATAATCACAATCATAATCATAATCACATTCCCAATCCCAACCCCAATCCCAATTGCAGTCCCAATCGCAATCTCAATCCCAATCCCAATCACAATCACACTCACACTCACACTCACAATCACAATGACAATCACAATCACGATCACAATCACGATCACGATCACAATCACAATCGCAACCACAATCACAATTACAAGCACAATCACAAGCACAATCACGATCACGATCACAATCACAGTCACAATCAAAATCATATTCGAAATCGTAACCACAATCACAATTGCAATCACAATCACAATCACAACAACAAACACAATCGCAATCACAATGACAATCACACGCAATCATAATCACAATCGCAATCGTAATCACAGTCGCAATCACAATCACCATCAAAATCACAATCGCAACCACAATTACTATCACAATCACAATCACAATCACAGTCCCAATCCCAATCCCAATCCCAATCGCAATCCCGATGTCAATTCGAATCCCAATCCCTATCCCAATCCCAATCACAATCACACTCACCCTCACACTCACAATCACAATGACAATCACAGTCACAATCACAATCACAGTCACAGTCACAATCACAACCACCATCACCATCACCATCACGATTACAATCACAATCACAATCACAAGCAAACTCACAATTACAGTCACCTTCACAACCACAACCTCAATCACAATCACAAGCACAGGCACAATCACAGTCATAATCGCAATCACAATCACAATCACGAACACTTTCAGGTCGGTGGCGCAGAGGAACCTCAGGCGCGGTCGGCAGATGAAGGTGCCAATCGCGAACGAACTTAGTCGAACGCGCCGTGATGAAAGAATTACGCCACGGTCATGAGGCATTGTAAAGCCACGCGCTCACGCACCCGTACGCAGGCGCGCACGCACGCACGCACGCACGCACACACACACGCACGCACGCACGCACACACAAACACGTACACACACACGCACATACACGCAGACGCACGCACACGCACGCACACACACACACACACACACACATGCACGCACGCACGCGCGCAAGCACGCACGCACGCACGCGCCGACGCACGAACGCACGCAAGCACGCACGTACGTACGGACGCACGCACGCACGCACACACGCACGCAAACACACACACGCACACGCACGCAAAAGCACTCGCACACACACACCCACACACACACCCACACACACACACACCCACACACACACACCCACACACGCACACACACATACACGCACGCACACACACACACGCACACACACGCACACACACGCGCAAACACACACACACGCACACGCACACACACGCACGCACATGCAGGCACACGCACGCACGCACGCGCACGCACGCAGGCACCCCCGCCCGCCCGCCCGCCTGCCCGCCTGCCCGCGCGCCCGCGCGCCCGCACGCCCGCGCGCCCGCGCGCCCGGCATGCACCAGTATCGAGTCTAGGTTCGTGTCCTGCTCCTTCACCTGGCCCGCTGGTTTGGAGCCCGTCCGAACTGGACTCATGGAAGCGGTCATGGCCTTCTCCCCCTCCTTTCCCTCCCCCCCTCGCACTGGGTATGCCACAAATCGCGGCGAAGGACGGTGAAATGATGCTGCGCTCTCCCTGCAACCGACAGCGAACCCGCGGTGGGGAAAGCCGCGGCGCAGGGGAAGCAGGCTGGGGGTCACCAAGGGGGGGGGGTCCCAAAGGGCCACCGAGCTCGGGTCAGGGAGGCCGTCATTTCCTTCTTTCCCACGTTAACCCCCCACCGCACTAGGTCTGCCACTAATCGCGGCAATGGATTGTAAAACGATGCTGTACTCTCCCTGCAACCGACAGTGAACCCGGGGTGGGGAAAGCCGCGGCTCAGGGGGGCAGGCTGGGGGTCACCAAGGGGGGGGTCCCAAAGAGCCACCGAACTGGGGTCAGCACGCACGCACACATGCACACACGCACGCACGCACGCACGCCCGCCCCTCCGCCCGCCCGCCCGCCCGCCCGCCCGCCCGCCCGCCCGCCCGCGCGCACGCACGCACGCACGCACGCACGCACGCACGCACGCACGCACGCGCGCGCGCGCACCGCTCGTGGCGAACACATGCGCATCTGCGCCCTCGCAGTCTGGATTCAGGGGGGCGCAATCATGCGGATACGCGGTCGCACGGATACATCCTGTGCGGGGCATCCGCGAAACAATGTCCCGCATCCGCGGGGTAGCGGTCAAGCGGCCCAGCTTGCGAGGCTGCTGAGATGGGTCATGTTTTCGCCCACAAGACATGGCGACGAAAATAATGGGAACGAATATCCCGTGCATTTTGAAGAGGATTCGATGTCGGTGTTGCCGCGGACGTACGTCCAACAATGGGCGCTGTAGGTTTTAACCAACATGTATTTTTGAGTCTCGTGCCAATGTTTGTCCGTACCTGTTCGGGGCCGTTGAGAGTGTGTTTCTTCAGCCCTCGAATGACGGTGAGAGCGAGGATGAGGGTGTGGATGACAATTTTAGAGGCGACGGCTACAGTGAGTGTGAGGGTGGGTGTTCGGGTTCGTGCACGTGTGCGTCTAGAAAAAACCCGGGGAGTGAGGAACAGCTGCCTGTTTTGCGGACGGGGCACGGGCCATTTCCCAAATCGCGCCATAACTCATTTTCTCGGTTCTTGACCACGAAAGTCGAAGTATCAAGTCGTTCTTGGGTGACAGCTGGTCTTCGAACTCGTGTTGTCGTCCTTGCGGACGTTCGTCAGAACAGTTCCGAAAGTTGCACTGCCAGACGACGCGCCCCTTTCAAACGCACCGTAGTTTGGTGCGCTACGTCCGTGGGGAAAGCGTTGGTTCAGGAATGTGCCCAAGAGGCTTCAGACCCTCGAGGATTCCTTATCTGATGAGGTCGGCTGTGATACTCATGACCCATCCATGATTGGAGTTCCACGGGCTTCCAGACCCTGGATTCCTTATCCAATGCCCTCACCGTAGTCGCACCTTCCGATGACAACTGCTTCCACACAGGGCGAATTCTTGACGCTTCGCGCATCTCAACCCTTCGTGCCCATGCTCCTGCTCCTCTTGCGGCTCGCCCTTTTCGTGCTCCTCCTGCCCTCTCTTCCTCCTCGGTTGCTCCTGCTTCTGCTTTCGCTCCTCCTCCCTCCTCCTTTCTTTTCGCTGGGAGCTCCCACTCGTCTTCCCGCTCCCTTTCCCGCTCGAGCTTCTCCTCCTGCTCATCCTCACCTCATCCTCATTTTCAACCTTGTCCTCATCCTCGTCCTCAGCCTTGTCCTCGTCATCCTCCTCGTGCTCTTCCTCGTCCTTTCCTTTGCACGTTGTAGTTTCGAGCCGAGCTTTGCTCTTGCCAATCTCCAGAGGTGCGCGACCCCGAGCCGCCGAAGCCCGAGATCCCCGCGAACTCGGAGAGCTGCGTGTGCAGAGATGATTGGACCGCGTGGGTCTGGTACACCTTCCCTGTGCGCAGGACGAGCCAGCTCTGAGGAGGAGGAAAGGATGACTGTGATTCTCATTCGTGTTCAAGAGTATGAGGAGAGTGGGGAGGGGGAGGGGGTAGATGACGAGGATCTTGAGATGGAGAGGGAGCTGCGGATGTTCCATATGTGAATCTAGCCGTGTGTGTGTATGTGTGTGTATGTTTGTGTGTGTGTGGATGTGCGTGTGTGTGTGTGTGTATATGTGTATGTGTGTGTGTATGTGTGTATGTGTGTATCCTGGTCGGCTTTGGTCATCAGTCTATCGTGTGAGTTCCTTGCCCTGCCTCGGCCCGTGAGGACCTGGCGACTGCCGCGCCGCTGCCCCGTGAGGGCTACACCACTTCCTTTTACCTCGCCGGCGCGCGCGCGCGCCGACAGACCTTCACTCGGCCTGGAGTCGCTCTGGCCCGCGAACGCTCAAAGTGTGTGTGTGTGTGTGTATGTGCCGGGCCGCGCCGTGCACCGCGGCTTAATTCGCGTTCTGTGTGTCCCACTGATTCCACATCGCCAGAGCAGTTACTCTGCCGAGCCGCCGACGCAAAAAGTGTGTGTGTGTGTGCGTGTGTGTTCCAGCTTCCTGGTAAGGTAGTGCCGGAAGAATTGCAAATGGGGCCTGGCGCGCGCTCCCACACCACTCGCGGGCACGTAGGAGTGGGGTTCTGCCCACGGTGCGTTCAGGTCAGGGAGCGAACCCAGCTGGAGGCTGGTGTTTCCATCCTCCAGGGGCCGTCCAGTGTGGTTCTCATCCGACCCCACCTCTGGGATGTAGAATTTGTCACGGCAGCGACGTTCAGCTCATTGGTGCGCGGCCCAGCTTCCAGGAGGCGGTGCGAGCAAGGGGTGGCAGTTGGCAGTAGACTCCGCCTTTACTCCTGGCGATGACGAAAATGGTGATGATGGTGAGGATGATGAGATGCTCACGACTGCGATGATGGCGACGACGATGCTGATGATGATGATGATGATGATGATGATGGTGATGATGATGATTCTGATGCTGCTGATGATGATTGTGATGAAGATGACGACGATGCTGATGCTGATGATGATTATGATGGTGTTGGTGATGATGACGGTGATTCCAATTGTGTTGATGATGCTGATGATGATGCTGCTGATGCTGTGATGATGATGGTGCTGCTGCTGATGATGATGATGATGGTGATGGTGGTGTTGGCGATGATTATGGTGATGATGGTGATGATGACGACGATGACCACGACGATGATGACGACGACGATTTTAATGGTGGTGGTGATGATGATGATGCTGATTATGATGATGCTGATGATGATACTGCTGCTGATGATACTGCTGCTGCTGATGATGCTGCTGCTGCTGAAGATGATGATAAGGATGACCATGATGATGATGATGATGATGATGATGATGATGATGCTGATTATGATGATGATGCTGATGATGCTGATGATACTGTTGCTGGTGATACTGCTGCTGCTGATTATGATGCTGCTGATGATTATGATGATTATGATGATGATGATGATGGTGGTGATGGTGGTGATGATGATAAGGATTACGATGATGATGATGATGCTGATGATGATGATGATGATGCTGATGACGCTGATGATGATGATGATGATGATGATGATGATGCTGATGACGCTGATGATGATGACGATGCTGATTCTGCTGCTGATGCTGATGATGATGATGATGATGATTCTGACGATGATGATGATGATGATGATGATGATGATGATGATGATGATGATTATGACGATGAGGATGATGATGATGATGATGATGATGATGATGATGATGCTGATGATGATGCTGATGCTGATGCTGATGATGATGATGATGATGATGATGATGATGATGATGATGATGCTGATGCTGCTGCTGCTGATGAGGATGAGGATGAGATGATGAGGATGAGGGATGAGGATGAGGATGAGGATGATGATGATGAGGATGATGATGATGTGATGATGATGATGATGATGATGATGATGATGATGATGATGATGATGATGATGATGATGATGATGATGATGATGATGAGGAGGAGGAGGAGGAGGAGGAGGAGGAGGAGGAGGAGGAGGAAGAGGATAAGGAGGAGGACGAGAAGGAGCAGGATGACGACAATCTTTGACCACGCCAGGAGATTCACGGGCTGCGCTACGTTCCCAGCGGACGGCGGCAAGATCAAGATCAGCAGCGACTTCGACACTTCTGGGCGGCCTGTCTCCTAATCTGCTGTCTCGACAGCCGCGAGCACAGCAGCGGGGCGAGACCCCAGGCACGATGACACGCAGGCAGCGAGAGGAGACGAGGCCAGGCAAGACAGCGGCCAGGAAGAGCGTGCAGCGGCGAGGGAGCGCGAAAGAACAGGCAGATAACACGAGATACACATATAACAGGGCGAAAAGGACGCGGACGCAAGGGAGACCGCACCAGGAAGACCTCCTCCTCCTCCTCCTCCTCCTCCTCCTCCTCTTTCTCCATTTTGCCGCCCTCTGCTGCCGCTTTCCATTGCTGCGATTCGGAATCGGCCTTGGCGGGCCACACCGCTGCTCATCCTCCCCCGTCGCCACCGCCACTGTCACTGTCGCCGTCACCCGAGTCGGTGGCCCTGACGCGCCCAGATTTCAGCAAGGCATGAGGGTGCAAACCCGTCTTGTCTGGCTGATGCTCTGAGGGGGGGCTTGTGCTCAGGGTAGGCTGCAGCACCGCTCCACGATGGGCTGTGAACCAAACCTGCAGGGTGGGCCGCTTCAGCTTCGGCTTCGGCTTCAGCTGCCGATGCACCGTGAAGCGCCTTCGGGGCCAGCTCATCCGAGTCGTTTTTTCCGCTTGCCCGGGTGCCCCCCCGTCGCCCCCCGCCGCCTCCTCCGTCTCCTCCTGCTGCTTCTGCTCTGTGTTTTGCCCCTCTGGTCCTGGCCCTCCTTCCCCCCTCCTTCGTTGCCCTGCCGCTGGTTATCACCGTTCCCCTCCTTCTCGTCCTTCTCCTCTCCTCCCTTCCTCCTCCCCCTCCTCCTCCTCCACCCCTTTTCCTTATGCCTGTTTCCTTCCTGTCGCACCTCGAGACGTGTCGGCAGGGCGGGCCCGGCGTTTCGCCTGCGACTTCCTTGCCACTGATGCTCCTTGAGCTGCAAAACTGAAAAAGTTCCATGGATGGAGGGCGGACGGTTTTCAAAATGTGGCTCTCGCCACAGCGCCGCGCACACTAAAAACACACGAGCAACTTCGCATGGTATTCACGGGTGGAGGGCGGGCCGTTTTCAGAATGCGGCTCTCACCTTCGCGCCGCGCGCAGTCGCTTCAAACTACTGCAAGAGTCTCATGGATGGAGGGCGGGTCGTTTTCAAGTTGTGGCGCTCGCCATAGCGCCGCGTACATTCGTTTCAAAAGTTTGCCCGAGTTCTACGGATGGAGGGCGGGCCGTTTTTAAAATGTGATTCTCGCCCCAGCGCCGCGCATGATTGCCCTAAGAGTTCATAACAGTGTCAAGGATTTTTGTGGGTGACGCCCCAGAAAAAGCACATTGGCACGATGTAGGTCTGTCAGGGCGCAACAGTTACGATGATTCGCGATGTTAAAGTCCGAGGAATGGTGTTCTGGTGCGACTCAGGATCGTCAGGACGCAACCGTAACATTGATTCGCGGCTTTTAATTCCCAGGAAGGATCTTCAGGCACTGTTCAGGATTTTCAGACGGTTGTCTTTCAACGGGGCGTTCAATTCTGTCAGTTTTGTTGGGACCTATACAGAGGGAACTTGGGGGGAGAGTTTACAGTCGAGCATCTGATTAAGAAGCCTCCTCCCGAAAAGCTGGGCCAGCGTTTCATAACCAACTTGCCGGAAAGCTGGCCCATCTTGGTGAGCACGTTCGCCCTTCTCCAACGTGAACACAGAGATTGGCCCAGGTTTGTGTCAGTAGATGCCTGGGAATCTTGCCCAGGTTTCTTGACTTGAGAACTTCTCGATCATATGTTTGGCTGTACTGCAACATCGTTGATGAGTTATGGGTTTGCCCTGGTGCTCGGCCTCCTCCGCCTCGTCCTTCTCCTCCTCCCTCGCCTCTCCTCCCTTTTTTCCGTGCTTCCCTCCCTCTTCTTCTCCCTGCCCCCGTCGCCGTCCCCCTCCCCCGCCTCCCCCCTTCCCCCCGCACCGCCCCGCCTGCCCTCCTCTCCGCCCCTTTTGAGCACCCATGGTGGACCGCGTCGCCCTCCACCCGCCCAGACGCCCGCCGCTCCGACCTGCTCGACGCGTCGGCCCTCGGGGCCTCCCTCGGCCCCTCCGGGGCCGGCTTCCCGCCCCGAGGCCCGAGACTGGCCTCTGGAGGCCCAGAGCGGGGACAGACGATCGGCCGCTCTGGTTTCTCCTGGCGACGAGCAGGGGCCGAGCGCGGCGACAAGCCAGCCACCCCGACGTCCTCCGATGTCCAGGGGCCCGCGAGGGCGCCAGGCCGGCCGGGCCGCGCCGACGTCTCCGAGGCGCGGGGTCTCGGGGCCTCTCGCCTCCCTCTCTCTTCTCTCCCTCCTCCTGCGAGTGGGGCCCCCGTGCCCCTCCTGTTCTTCCCCGTGCCCGCCTGCCCCTCCCGGCTCGCAG